TTAGCATATTACATGTCCATAGGGCCTGATTATTTAACAGACATTCTTTTGATTTGAAACTTGTGTTTACAAGATGTTTGTAACTGGCATATCAAATAAAAGTAAAGCAAAATTCACTAGAGATGGATGGCTTATGTCCTCCATCACTGAAAACAGTTTTGTATTTTTGACAAAGCTCTGTGGGGTTTAAATTTTTTCCATTAAATTATATGGAAAAATCAATATTAAATTGAATGGTGTGTAACAGTCTATAATTGTGGTTTTTGGCTTCTTTTGTACTTTTTTATTGAAAAAATATATTAGGTTTAACTATGAAATTGCTGTCTCCATAGGTCAAAATTTCACCTAATACTTAGTAACTCAATATATTTAAGTATTAGTATTTTGTTACTAAAGAATTTAAATCTTCCTCTAAGGAGGAAAAAAAAGTTTGCAGTTACTAATTGTGGGGCTCAGAGTTTGTAATGGGAGGAGCTAGTTAGTCTAAAGTACACTTTTTTTCAAGCATTTAATTCATTCTTTTTAAAAGTATTTATTTATTTATTTGAAAGACAGTTTCAGAGATATAGGGAGAGACAGAGAGATCTTCTATCTGCTGGTTCACTCCCTAGATGACCTGGCTGGATCAAGCCAAAATCAGTTGCCTGAACTCTATCCAGATCTCCCACAAGCAGTGTCAATCGTGCACAGCAGAGCACGCTGGAGAAAGGAGTAGAAAATTGACTTTTAGGACACACAGAACTCCTTTGACATTCATTTCAGAGGTGGAACATTTATGTTTCCTTGTAAAAATATAACCCATTTTGAGAGAAGACCATTGAAGAACCAGTAAACAAATTCAACAGAATCTTATCACAATTTGATTAACGCAATTTGAATAGTCAAGGTCTAGAATCAGGAACCGGTCATCAAAGGACACTGCTTAGTACTAGAAAACCCCATTTATGACAACTAAAAGTGAAGGGCGCTTTATATTCAACTTCCCTGACCATAGGCAGCATCATTTCTAACCAAGCTGCATCATTTGGTGACCCTCCAAGGATGGATAGGGTGGGGAGGCTAAGTTAACTGGAATGGATAACGGACAGAACAAAAGAACCCATAGATCAGTACAGGCATTTGGCGCAGGTTAAGTCACTGCTGAAACACCTGCGTTCTGCATCAGAGTACCTGCTTCAAGTCTTAGCCCCTCTACTTCCAATCTACCTTCCTGCTAATGAGTGTCCTGGGAGACAGTAGATGATGGCCCAGCTACTTGGGTCCCTCCCACCAATATGGGAGACCTGAATGGAGTTCCTGGCTCCTGGCTTTGGTCTGGTCCAGTCCTGGCTGTTGCTGGCATTTGGGCAGTGAAACTATGGATGGGAGATTTCTCTCTATGCCTGTCAAAAAACAGTGAAAATAAATACAAGTTTCATGAGAATTAAAACCATAGCTCTCAGGGCAATAGTTGTGGGCTGGATCATTAAGGCTGTGATGATTTTCTTTCTTTTTTTTTTTTTTTGATGATATAAGAGCTATTTCATTTTAACTTCTTATGGTGACCATGCACATAAGAAGATGAAAAAGAAAATGTACTTCTTTTATCAGAATAATTTTTGTGATTATAAGTGAAAGGCATTTTATTAATATAAAGGCAACCTTGACTTATACACCTATGATGAACATTGACATATTTAATTCACTCTCAATAATAAACATATTTTCTGACAAAGAAAAATCCAACAGTACAAAAGGACTAAAAATGAAAAGTACACATAACCCCACTAGAGAAACATCCAAGACTCTTTAGTCTTTTCTCATTTTATTTCATCTGGTCACTTTCTCTTTGGCTATAAGTAACATGTTGTAATACCTATTTTTTAATGTGTCAACTCTAACACTATTAACTCCTTGCAATGATAAATAATTGGTTACATTTACAACTTTAAAGAATATAAACTTTTACTTCCAGTTCCACCATTTTTAAATAGTATCTCTAACGTCCTATTATGTGCAAAAGACAAATGAACACTTCTACAATTACCTTCAATTTTCTTCCTTCAACTCTTTCTTTTCCATGAAAATCTTAACTCCTGTCAGCTGCACCGTTATATTTACATTGTCAGAGCTTATAATATTTACATTGTGTTCTATGACTGGTCATTCTGTTGACTTTAAATGTTGAAAGTCAATAAACTGTAATGACTGTATATGATTTTTTTTTTTTTTTGACAGGCAGAGTGGACAGTGAGAGAGAGAGAGACAGAGAGAAAGGTCTTCCTTTTGCCGTTGGTTCACTCTCCAATGGCCGCCGCGGCCAGCGCGCTGCAGCCAGCGCACCGCGCTGATCCAATGGCAGAAGCCAGTCACTCATCCTGGTCTCCCATGGGGTGCAGGGCCCAAGCACTTGGGCCATCCTCCACTGCACTCCCTGGCCATAGCAGAGAGCTGGCCTGGAAGAGGGGCAACCGGGACAGAATCCGGCGCCCCGACCGGGACTAGAACCCGGTGTGCCGGCGGCGCAAGGCGGAGGATTAGCCCAGTGAGCCATGGTGCCGGCCTTGTATATGATTTTAATTACATAAATAGTACTCCTAGTAGAGCAAAGTCTGTCACTTCTTAGACTAGAAAAGGCAAATCTCTATTACTAACCCTGTGCCACTAGAAAGAGGATATAAGGGTCAAATAATTACATTTGCAAGCACTCCATTAATTGTTCAAACCAATACCACATTTGAGTTTAGTTTTTATTTGGAACATAGTTTTCTGTTGTTTTTAATAGTTTTCTGTTTTCCTTCTTAACAAAAGAAACACATGCCTTCCTCATAAGACTAAATTTATCCAGGATCTTAATTCCACTCTCTGTGGCCTGGAATCCGCTTTCTGCTTGAGGACATTCTTCTGCGGTGCAGTCCAGTTGCTTGCTTGGCCTGCTATACAGCTGTCATTCTAAGCCTGCCCTTCTTGGCACTCCTGGGTTAGGAATAATGTTCCTCAGATCCCAAATTTTTCTCATTCTTGAGTTCTTTTTCTAGTTATTGGTCCATCCTTAACTGGGTTTCTTTCTTTCTTTCTTTCTTTCTTTCTTTCTTTCTTTCTTTCTTTCTTTCTTTCTTTCTTTCTTTTTCCTTTCAGAAAGGATTTGTGAGAGGTGGACTGTCTGAGTTCTGATGTGTGTGAACGTGTCTACATATGCATTACAAGCCTAAGGACTCGGAAGGCAGTGCTCCACTCTTGTCTGGTCTTGGGTATTGGTGATGGGAAGACTGGACTGATCAGACTTTCGTAGTTGATGTGTCAGACTTTGTAGTTGACCTATGGTTTGTTCTCTGAAAGCTTTTTGGCTCTTTGCTTAATATTTATAGAATCACAAGTTTATGATTAAATATGGGTCCATTTTTATTTCTTTTGTTTGACACTCAATATACTTTCAGTCTAAAGACTCCTTTCCTTACCTCTAAGAAATTTTCTTCTATTATTTCTCTCATAACTTTATTGTCTTCTTTCTTATCTGCTTCAGGAACAATTGGTTGAATGTTGTACTTTCTATATTGACCTTGGATGTCTTTGGACTACCAAAAATATTTCTTTCCTTTTGTCTTTTTACTTTTCTTACTCTTTTTGTCTTTTTACACTTGGGAGGTTTCATTTATCTCATTTACATTTTCTTTCAGTCTTTATGGTTTTTTTATTTTAGTAATTTTATTTTTAATTTCTTTTTTTTTTAATTTTTTTTTTTTGACAGGCAGGAGTGGACAGTGAGAGAGAGAGAGACAGAGAGAAAGGTCTTCCTTTTTGCCGTTGGTTCACCCTCCAATGGCCACCGCGGCCGGCGCGCTGCAACCAGCGCACCACGCCGATCCGATGGCAGGAGCCAGGTACTTATCCTGGTCTCCCATGGGGTGCAGGGCCCAAGCACTTGGGCCATCCTCCACTGCACTCCCTGGCCACAGCAGAGAGCTGGCCTGGAAGAGGGGCAACCGGGACAGAATCCGGTGCCCCGACCGGGACTAGAACCCGGTGTGCCGGCGCCGCAAGGCAGAGGATTAGCCTAGTGAGCCGCGGCGCCGGCCTATTTTTAATTTCTAATAATTCTTGTTTTTGCTTGTAATATATATAAACACACACATGTATATACAGATACTTCAAAAATTCATGGAAAATGAAATTAAAAGATAAATTTCCTTTTAAAGACTTATTTATTTGAAAGGGAGAGAGAGAGAGAGAGAAATCTTCCATCCACTTGTTCACTTCCCAGATGGCTGCAATGGCCAGCATTGGGCCAAGCCAAAGCCAGGAGCCAGGAGCTTCATCCAAGTCCCCCACATGGGTGGCAGGGGCCTAAACACTTGGGCTATCTTCCACTGCTTTTCTCAGGCCGTTAGCAGGATGCTGGGTGAGAAGCAGAGCAGCCAGGACATGAACTAGTGTCCATATTAGATGCTGACATTACAGGCAATGGCTTAAGCAGCTGTGACACCACATGGACCTCCCTGCAAATTTTTATAACCAAATTATTAAGTAAATAATCTTTCACACTGCATTGGCCATATGAATTTATTTTTCACTTACTAAGTTATCATTGTTAGCTCCTATCATAAACTTTTTATAAAGTGCCTAATAGCGGAGCCAGTGTTGTGGCATAGCAGGTAAAGCTGCCACCAGCGATGCCGGCATCTCATGGATGCCAGTTCCTGTCCTGGCTGCTCCCCACCTGAACCAGCTCCCTGCTAACATGCTTGGGATAAGCAGCAGAAGATGGCCCCTGCCACCTATGCGGGAGACCCAGAAGAAGCTCTAGGCTCCTGGCTTCGGCCTGGCCCAGCCCTGGCTGTTGCAGTCATCTAGGGAGTGACCCAGCAGTTGGAAGATCTCTCTCTCTCTCTCTCTCTCTCTCTCTCTCTGTCTCTCTCTTTCTGTAGCTCTCACTTCCAAATAAATAAGTCAAACTTAAAAAAATAAAATGTCTGACATCATGATTCATAACATTTAAAATTATAATAACCCAAAGTACTTACCATTTATGGAGTACTTTATGTACCAGTAGTGTGCTCATGCTCACTGCATTGAAGACGATCAGTAAATACAAGTGTCTTCATCTGCAAAGGATGTAGAGATGCCATTTGTTAAAGAATAGCAAAAAGTGCTCTGGGAAAAGGAGTATGCATCTTCGACTGTTTCTCAGAGGTAGCACAAACACCAACACAATTGCTGATGCTTGTGAGGAAGGACTGCTTTTTTTAAAAAAGATTTATTTTATTTATTTGAAAGACAGAGTTACAGAGAGAGAGGTAGAGCCAGAGAGAGAGAGAGGTCTTCCATCTGTTGATTCACTTCCCAAATGACTGCAACAGCCAGAGCTGAGCTGATCTGTAAGCCAAGAGCCAGGAGCTTCTTCTGGGTCTCCCATAGGAGTTTGGGGACCCAAGGACTTAGGCCATCTTCTACTACTTTCTCAGGTGCATTAGGAGAGAGCTGGATGGGAAGTGGAGCAGCCGGCATTCGAACTGGCGTCCATATGGGATGCCCGGCACTGCAGGCTGGGACTTTAACCTGCTGTGCCTCAGCGTCAGCCCCAGGACTGCTTTGAAGAAAATACTCCCATGTCGATTCTCTGAGAGCCAAATAATTGTCTTTGAGCAGTTCAGACCATCGTCACATCACTTCCAACACTGCTACTATCAGAGCTAAAACACTTTCCTTTCTGAACACGGTTCTAATATTCAGGAATGAAACTAAAAGTTTTAATAAATTGAAAGCCAAATTATCTTGCTTACGAAGAAAGTAAAAAATGGATTTTGCCGTCTGGAGAGCTTACGCAGCAAAGGGCCCACAACTGTTTCATTCTGCCTGATTCAGCTTGGTGAAGGTTCCTGAGAGCTCTGCTGTAGATCTCACTGGGTGGTGGAAGAGGGAAGGTGCGTTGCTTGACAGCTTTTTGACCATGGGTGAGTTTACAGTTTCTCTAAACATCAGCATCCTCGTTTACAAAATTAAGGAAACAATATCTTCCAGTGAGGATTGTTTGTTAACATTAAGAAATAAATCACACAAAGGAAGTAGTACAGGGCCTGAGACTTAGTTAATTATTTGTAAATGATCATTATTATTACTGTGGAAATTCATAAGTATCCTCTACTGGTTAGAGTTGTTAAATTTAATAAACATACAGGATATACAGTTAGATTTGAATTTCAGTTGGGCAAGAATAATTTTTAGAGTAACTGTTGCAAATATTGCATGGAACATACTTACACTAAAAAAAAAAAAACCATCAGCTATCTGAAATTCAAATGTAAGTGGGCATCCTGTATTTTAACTGGCAAAGGAATTTCTGTAAGAGAAACTTAATAAACCTACATGGAATATAATTGTGATTAAATTTAATATTTTAACTGCTCTCACTTGGTAGGTCGGTATCCCCCAATATACTCAGCATTTTCTCTTTCAGGTAATGCTCAAGCATCACATATCTGAAAAATAAAAAGTTCCCATGTTTTGGAGTAGAACAGAAAATTTTCCCCATACTGAAATCTGTTGGATATAGTTACTAGTTATAGGTTTTGAAACTTCTTATGTGAATTGTGTTTGTATTTAAGTCCTTTCTTGGAAAACCACAAAGCAGTAAGTATGAAAGTCTTAACGGGCCAGCATCCCATAGCATGTGGTGTAGTGGGTAAAGCCTCCGCCTGCAGTGCCGGCATCCCAAATGGATGCCGGTTCTAGTCCTGGCTGCTCCTCTTCTGATCTAGCTCTCTGCTATGGTCTGCTATGGCCTGGGAGAGCAGTGGAGGATGGCCCAGGTCCTTGGGCCCCTGCACTCGCGTGGGTGACCTGGAGGAGGCTCCTGGCTCCTGGCTTCAGATCGGCGCAGCTCTGGCCATTTGGGGAGTGAACCAGCGGATGGAAGACGTCTCTCTCTCTCTCTGTCTCTCTCTCTCTCTCTCTCTCTCTGTAACTCTGTCTTTCAAATGAATAGAATAAATCTTTTAAAAAATTATCAATTCTACCTGTATGTCAGCTGTTCTGTAATTTGTAGTGAAATTTTGAATGAGATAAAAATAACTATTTTCATTCCTCAATTCTGTTTTAATTTTGCTTAGGAGTTACAGAAACACGTTCTAGTCGGCTTGCAATGTGTTTTTGCTATTTTTCATACTGATTTCACGTCAAACTTATAAACACTTCTACCAATCTTTTGGTGTCATTAGCTCAAAGAGTAACTGGACTTTGGTCATCACTCATGGTCATCAACATGAACATGAACTTTCTTCAGTGCGAAAAAATCGCTCTGTAATAATAGATTCTATCCTTTCCGGTTTGGGGAAATCATAATTCCTGGCTTTGGTAAGCCAAGTGAGAAAAAAGGAGAAAGACTGGATTTTCTTTATCCATCTACTCCTATGAAGCAACAGCAGGCTTTCAACTCCCGGAGAACTGTCATTCATCACCTCAGACAATACGATGTGTGCTCCCTGTCTTCATTCATAACGTTGGTTTGCTAGTAAAACGGAGTCAGCCCTTCGTTGCTTTTTTCCCAGAGAATGCACCTTCTCTCCGCGGCGGCGCCGCAGTCCCGGCCCCGCACGCCGCCGCAGCCCCACCTGCCGCAGGGCACCGCCGGCTGCCCCGGGCCCCGCCGCGACGCGCCCGCCGAGCCGAGGAGCTGCAGCGCCGCCGACAGCATTCGGGCATCAACACACAACCAAGTGTTGACTTCCTGGAGACTGAGAATCGGGGCGTCCGGGACAAAGTTGGGTGGGTGGGTGGGGTCTCCGGGTGACAGGAACGTCGGCAAAACATGGGTAGTGATTTCATGGACGCGTTCAAAGGAACCCGGGGAAAACTCAGACTGCGCTCCAGGTAGCTCGTCCCGGCATCTTTAGAATGAAATCGCCATAGGTGCGCGAGTCCTGGCTACATCCTCCGCGAGAGCCAGCGGGGAGGCCATTCTTGGGGCAGCTCCGCGGGGTGCACCCCTCACGAGGTGCCACGGCCGAGTGTCTCTCGGCAACGTCACAGAGCCACAGAACGCCCGGGCACGGTGTGGGAAGCGGTTCGGGACGAGGTGGCCCGTCCCCCTCCGCGGTGAGGACGACTCGGGCAGACCGGGGTTCTCCGGCAGCTTCTTCCTCCCCGCGCCGCGGCTGGCAGCATCGCCTCAGAGCCTGTGGCGCCCGGGCGCGCGCGGGAAGCCCGGCCTTCCAGCTGAGAAACCCGCCGGCCAGGGCCTCCCACTTTTTTTGCTTATCGCTATAAATGTTACTGTGACCGAGCCCCCCGAGACTTTCGGACGTCGCTGCCCCACTAAGCTCCCGACTCCTCCTGCCAGGGCCGAGGGAGCCCGGCCGCGCGCCGCGGGGCGGGGCCGGGGGCGGGGCGTCCGAGTCGCCTCCGGCGGCTCCTCAGCTACGGGCGGGAGGCGGCGGCAGCGGCGGCGGCGGCGGCGGCGGCGCGGGACGAGCGGCTCGGGGATTGGCTGCGGCGCGCCGAGACGTCAGGCTCCCGCGGCCCGAGCGGCCGCCCGGCCCGGCACGGCGCAGTCGGGTCGAGTGCTCCCCGTAACGAGGAGGTGTCCTCGGCCGTCCCGCCCTCTGCCGCCGTCGCCGGGTTGCGCCGCTAGTGCCGGGACGCGCCTCCGCGCTCCTCGCCGCCTCCACCCGCGCGGCCGTAGCTCCCCCTCGCTGTCCGCACGCACACCATGACGAAGAAAGAGAAGAAGTCCTTCAACCAGAGCCTGGCCGAGTGGAAGCGCTTCATCTACAACCCGACCTCCGGAGAGTTCCTGGGGCGCACCGCCAAGAGCTGGGGTGAGCGGGCGGTGGTTGGGTGGGAGAGGGCCGGCGGGAGGAGCCGGGGCCCCGGGAGCCGCCCGCAGCGCGCTTGGCCCCGGCGCCGTGCCCTAACATGGGCGGCGGCGGAGCGCGGCCCCATTCATTTTCCGCTGGGCCGGCCGGCGGGCCGAGCGGGCCGCCGCTCACTCCGGAGGCACGGGCTCCGCGGGCAGCCCTGATCGGGCCGCGCCGCGCCGCGCGGGCTCCTTCCTCCGGGCCGGGCGCGGGGCGCACGTGCTACCCGGGCCTCCCGCCCCGAGGACGCCGGAAGCCGGGGACCCCTGTCCGGCCCCGAGCCCCCGAACGCCCGGGGCCTCCTTTGTAGCGAGCGCGCCGGCCCCGAGAGGCCGCGGCGGAGGCGCCCGGCGCGCCGAGCGGTCGGTTCGGGGAAGCCAGCCCCTGCCCCTGCCCCACGCCTGGGGAGAGGAAATTTCCACTCCCGCCGCTATCTTGTGACTCGTCCACGCTGCCGCCCGACGCGTCGGGGGAGTGCAGGCGAGGGCTGAGTGTGTGTGGGTGGGTTGCACGGACGCGTCGCGGTGAGTTAATCACAGAAGTACATTGTACTCGAAAATGCACTTGACTGTGGACGGTGAAGAGGCCCTTAAAAAACATTGGTTCCTCCCTTAGGCGTTTTCCATCGCAGAGGTTTTTTTTTTTTTTTTTTTCTTCCTGACAAATTCGCTTCTTGGAGCGCGCGGGGGCGGGGAGGGGGAGTGAAGCCTGTCTCGGAACAGCACGGTGTCGCTTCCTGTGCCTTCGGAACTTGGGAGCGATGGTTGCGGAGGTCTGCTAGCCGCTTTTCGGTGCGGGAGTTCTTTGTTTTAAAAGACAGACTTGAGCCTTCCACTCGCGGAGTGCTGCCCTGGGGTTGGGGGGGGCGGGCTTTGCAAGTCTGAATAGGGACTAGTGCCCCCCACGCCCACACCCACACCCTTAAGTAAACTAGTTTTGCCTTTTTCTTTTTGAATCCCTCGGAGGATCCTGGGTTAGTGGGTCTTGACAGACCTTTTGTTCCTGATGGAGAATAAACTTCTCGAGTTGAGAACGAGAGTTGGCTGGCTGTGATTCTGCCGGCTGAAGGGAGCTCCTCCAAGGCTGGAAAGGGACTGGAAGCCCTGTCTCGAGCTGAAGGGGGGCCTTGGGGATTTCTGAACCCAGCCTCCACTTTAGAGATGAGAAAACTGAGACCCAGCGAGGTGGTGATTTTTGCCTTGTGTAAAATTACATATTCCATAGAGCCAAGAAAAGAACCCAGTTCTTCTTTAATCCTAGTCCAGCGGTTGTATTATTTTACAGATGCCTTGCCTAACTGCATGGTAATCACTCTGGGTTTTTTTAAAATTGCTATCTTCTTTTGGGAACCGAGTAGTATGATGAAGAAACGAAGCCCGCAGCTGGAGTTAAATGGCGAAAAAATGATAAACAATGGTAACTCTTCATTGTGTGTTTTTGGAGCGTACTGACTTTTTGCCAAAGACATTTTTGAGTGGTGGGGAGGGCTTGGTTTTTATAGGCTACCTTCCCATCTCCCTCTGTGCCTTCTCGTGCCCAGTACTGCATTGCTTCACATTTCTTACTATCCGAAGTGCCCTTTGACCTTTGTGTTATGTGACCTAAGGGTAGTGATTTTATTGGGTATATATGCATGTAAGTAGATAACCTGGACACGAACTATCAAAGTATAGAGCAGTGTGTAAGGGCCATGGAAATGGTGCAAGTCAAGTTGTGGTAAGTTTTAGAAGGGTTAGGCAAGACCTTTTTCAACATGAATAAGTATTACTCTTATCGGTGAATAGTAAATCTGTTTGTTGTAATAATAGTAGCTAGGGCAGGATAACATAAATAAGTGAAAATTATCTGTAATCCTGTCCCAACAGAAGAGCATCCCTTCAGGGATATGTGGGTGAGTGGTGAGAGGAGGCTCTGTACCTGGAGCGTGGCTGCATCTGCCTAGACCCACAAAAACAACATCAGTGTGGAGAGATGTTTTCCTGTGGGGATATGGTTGCCAGGAGAGGTGCCTATGCCAATGCTTATAAAGCATATATATATATATGTTAGCCGCCGAGCTCCTTGCCTCAGTTATTCACTGTTAACATGTCTGAAATGTGTGTAACATTTCATCTTTGTAAATTAAAAAATATACAAAATATTGTGGGCCTCTTCCCCTGTGAAGAAAGATATACTTTATAATTTTTATCTGTATTATAGTTTTTATCAGAGTTTTTTTTATTTAGCTGAATAGTGTTTCCATTTTACAGTTAGATATGTTATGATTTTTTTTTTTCATTTTGAATGTACTGACCCTCCCTCCTGTTCCTTCACCATTGAGAGTACATTTTGTAAATTTGTTTCCTTGGAATATGTTTGTACAGGTGGAATTTTTAGGTCATTCATGTATACCTTTTAATTTTGAAAACATGTTGACAAGTGCCTTCCTGAAAGTTCCTAAAACTTATACTTAACAGTGTATGGTGGCTTGTTACATCATCATAACTATTCTTACCTCTGTTATTTCTTTAAAACTTTTAGAATTTTTGATAATAGCTTTTTTCTAAATAAACAAATCCTCTGACATTTGTGCAGATTTTTTCTTTTACTAGTTGTCCCTTGACTTTTTTTGATCATAAAATATAGGTGGTAGGAGAAAAGGTTGTATTTAAAAAAAAAAACTTTAAAAAAATGTTATTTATTTGAAAGAGAAACAGAGATCACCCATCCACTGATTCCACTCCTCGTGTATCTGCAACAGCCAAGGCTTTGCCAGGCCGAAGGTGGGAGCTGAGAACTCAGTGCAGGTCTTCCCATGTGGGTGACAGGGACCCAAAAACTTGAGCCATAACCTGCTGTCTCCTAAGTTTTGCATTAGCAGGAAGCTAGACTTGGAGCAGAGCCAGAACCCAAACCCAGGCACTCTGATATGGGGTGCAGGCTTCCCAAGTCATGTCTTAACCACTGTGCCAAATGTTCATCCCTACATTTGTTCTGAGATTCCTTTCCAAGTGAATTAGATACATTAAAAAGCACACATATTTAAAAATAAATTATATTTTGTGTGATCTGAAAACATTGCATGTTATATCACATTGCCATATTTAAAACAGCCATTTATACAGATTCTACTTCGTGTCTATGTGGCTAAATATCTTAAACTTGTAAGTGGTTTCAAAATGCTTACAGACACATCAATCAAGTCACTTGACTTTCAGAAATACCTTCTAAAGCAGACTAGGGGGTGGTGATGGAAGTGTTTCCAGCTGGTTTCTCAAGCTTAGTAATAAATACGCATCAGGAGTAAGTAGTTGCCATTTATGAAGACACTGGACAGAGAAAATTAATACCTAGTGGCTGATAATGCAAATATTAAATAAAATGCATTCAGTATAATTGGAGTCTAAAGTAGTGAGAGAAGCCTAGAGAGGTTACTTAAACTGCAGGTAGTGGGCCATGTGTTGCAATTTCCATTTTTAAAATGAAGAAATAGAATGAATCAGTTTATTTTAAGAATATGTTTATTTTATCAGAAGAAAAGTAATGTTTCGTGAAAGCTTTGTTTTGTAGGTACAGATATCCCCATGTAAAATGTATGTCTTAACTGTGGTTCATAGTCAGGAATGGTTGACAACTGTTAATCTAGCCCAGTTATACCATTTTGTAGATGAGAAAATTGAACTTGCAAATCTTCTGATTTGTTAAAATTCACTGAGTTAGTGATAAAATCCTTGGCCATCAGACTGAAAGACGAGTCTTGCTGCTTGCTTTTTTTTTTTTTTTTTTTTTTTTTCCCATGACATCTGCTTTGGAGTCCATTACTTTGTTAAGTTTATCTGTCAATAAATGCTTAACAGTTAACAGTAGCTTAAAATTTGAGTTGCCATGATTTCCAAGCATATCCAGAATTCTGGATCAGTTAGCCCTATATTTTGCTCATGTACCTTTGCTTTTATTATAGGTCCATGAAGTGCCATTTTCTCAGTCACCTGTTCCGATTTGGGGTCATGCCTTAGTAAATGCTGTGCTCTGGAGATCAGACTCCATCCCATCTTGGGTGTCTGTTTAGGGGAGGAGGCAGGAGTATTCATTTTCTAAGTATTTTGTAGTTTTGTAAGGTGGTATTCTTTGTCCTGTGGAGTGTGGCAGTTAAGGAACTTTATAAACTTTACAAAAGTGTGCACTCTGAGAAAAGTAATCCAGTTTGCCTTACTTTGGATGCAGGCTAAAAATGCAGGCCAGTGGTGGGTGTGGGAGCAGCAGAGCCCAGCTCATGCTGAGCATCACTCAGCAGAAGAGAGAGGGCACTTCCTGGACTGTCCAGGAAGTAGTCCTGTTGTGGAAGGGAGGGAAAGGATGAATTAATGTGGTATGTGACAGACCATTGAAATTATGATAGTATATGCTTTCATATTGTTAAAGAGCAGCCTTACCTGTCTCACCCCTTCAAAGTAATTTGGTTTCTCAAAGATTGACTTGGAATTTACATCTGGAGAATTAAACTAGTTATATTAAAAGAAGTTGGAAAAAACCCCTCCTATTTATAGTAACAGCTTTTCCATAACTTATCATCATGTTTGATTAAGGACAAATCATTTAACACTGATTTCATAATGAAAATAAAATTGGAACTTTGAAAGATAAATTTATTATTTCCCAATTATATACTCGTGCTGTTTTGAAGTAAAATCACCTATGATCTTTAACCACTTTAGTATAACCAATGTTAATATTTTAAGTTTTTTCTATGTGCAAATAAAACTTTAAAACATGTATAAAATTATAAAATATATAGTTAGATTCCTGACTGTATCATTTACTGTTGAAGGAGACTATTTTTCCTATGTCTTTCTCTCAGCTGTTGAAGTGGCTCTCTTCATCACTTGCAACTGTTCACACTTTCTGCTTGCACTTAACATATTTTGTCACTTTTAGTTGCTGTCTCTGTTGGGATTCCCAAGTCCACGTATCTAGTCATAGAC